TTCTTGGGTGCCCAACGTGCCGCTTCTCCAAGGGAGGCTGCCACATTTGTAGGCGTCCGGGATACAAGCCGAGAGGGCCCAACAAACGCAGCAAGGCTGGAGCCTGATGTAGTCAGGCTGCCTGATCCATAGTGTGGTTGGATTTTGTCCAATTCCGTCTCACATGGCAGCGTGTGCCAGGTATAGTTTGAAACATCATCAGCGGATAGGAAGGCTTAGGCTGACAGTTTTTGCACTTGATCAAGTCAACGCTGTCCAATTCGTGTTGTGTGTGTACATGCCATAGTAGGGATCCCAAGTGCGAAGATGGCATGATAATATCTTAGCCCATAATCTCCAGGTTGAGCTGTCTCAGCACAATCCCTTGCAAATGCCGCAGGATTCACGCGGCCTAGGTCTCTGCGTGCAGTGTGGTCTTGACTCAGTTACCGCATCTGCTAGCATGAAAATGGCCCAAACTGAATGCTGTTTACACGCCCTGATAGTATAAGCCTCGCGTTGCCAATGCCAGGTCCTGATGCATGCCCAAGAAGCTCCTCAAGGGCAGGCCGAAGCGTGCCCCACCCCATTTCACAGCTTTATGACACTTGTGCCTTTTCATGTGCCCATGTGCAAGCAAGCCTGATGGTTGCTTCTGGAAACAATTTTTATTCAAGTCAGGCTCAGTCACGAATACCATTGATATTCATGTACGGAATCCGGCCTAGTCCTTTTGTAGCCTATCGGTCCTTGCCCGTAATCTTTAACTTTTGATAGGGTATGATAGGGTAGTGACTGCATGGCGTGTAGCACCTGAGAGCTTAGCTGATTGATCATCACCTTTCCGTGGTGACCATGGGTATGCCTGCGGAGAAACTGAGCTGGATCATACGCAGATTGAGGCAACTATCAGCTCCAGCTGTTCCTCTGTAGCATTGATCTAAATTAAGTGCTTGGACGAGTCATGCTTTGGCAACACTAGTCCAATTTGGGGTGGCAATAGCTCCTGCATGAATGAGGTTCTGATCTACTGCGTGATCCTGCTGCACTTCACGAGGGGTCTCGAGTTCGCAGAGGACTGTATGCATGGGTATTGAGTTTGGAAAATACCACAGGGATAGATTTGTCTTGATCAGCTAGCCCTGCCCTACAGAAGTGGGACGCCTGCGAATACTTTGCTGGATGCGGTTCCCTCTCGGGGGCCCTGGAAGATAAGGGACTATCGGTGGCTTCCTTTGACATCATGTATTGGGCAGAGTACAAGAACCAGCAGCTCCGAAATGGCCGTACCATGCCAGAGAACAATCCCCTTGACATAAACCAACCTTCGGGGTTCGCGTTCCTAGCATGCAGTTCAGTATCATTGGCACATGGCATTCTGCGGACAAACCCCAATTAGACATGTCGGTAAAGCGGTGCCTGCGCCAGCCCAGGTTGCTCATCCACTCGATCCTCCAGTCGCGGGACAATGCGATTTTCCATTTTGGTGTTGTCTGTTCAAGTTGGATTGCAATCTGCCGGCACACATCGGGAAGATCCTTTCTTTGTCCACTAGGCTATCAGGAGAATGCCTTTGTAAAGGCCGGGAACAATATGATGGGGAGGCGGGGTTCTGGTGAACAACATTATCCCATGTAAAACCTATATAGTTCATCTGCGGGCTTTTACGGGCACACATGTACGGTATTGTCATATGTTGTAATAATGATTCAGGGGGGGGCTTAAATACTTTTAAATTGTTTTTGTATTCACACTTGTTGACATCCAGGGTGGCACTCGCCCTATGGTTGATACACGCGATGAAGAAGACATGGGTGATCGAGCAGCCGGCTAGCTCATTGGCTGGCCGGCACCCGCGGTTTAGAAATCTTTTGAAGCGCATGCGCATTTGGCGCATACATTTCTGGTTATGCAAATATGGGGCTTCTTCGCCCAAGCGCCTCAAACTTTGGTCGAACAGCCGTGGCATACGCAGATTCGGTACCTCTAGGTTGACCAAGAAACAGCGAGACAGTCTACCCGACAGGCTAGCCACAACTAAGATCGGCCCTGACGGAAAAAAAACCTACACGGGTGACAAGAACATGCTCAAGAAGTCACAGATCGGACCTTAGTTTTCATTGTTTTTTTAACTGCCCGCAGTTTCGGACTTGTTAATGTACCGCAACTTGATCCCAGCTAGAGGTCATATCCAATGGGATTCGCTCGTAAGTTTGCCAACAGCTTGCGAGCTCTACGGTCTGAACGAGCCCCACCACGAAAGCTTGCTGAGGCCTCATGCTATACCAATTATAATTATGTAAATATTTGTAGCAATCATGTTTGCCTTAAAGCCCCCTTAAGGAACTTTATATTAAATATGTATATATATATATACGATACTGACCGCCTTACACATGTTGTTTCGGGTACAAGAATCTTGGGTGTGCACCGCACTGGCAATTTACTTGATGTACCCAACCCTGCCCCTAAAAAAGCCTAGGTGACAGGCCTCCTGACGGCCGGGGATATGGTGCGCGAGCTGCGCAAAGATGAATGGGCAGACGCAGATCTTCCTGCTGTGATCAAGTATCTCGAGACGAACAAATACTGTGATGTGCCCTCTGAGTGGTCTCTGTAGATACAGTGTAGAAGCTTCGGCTGAGGTGTACGCAAGAGATCTGCTACATAGACCATGTTCTAGCATTATAATGTGTTCTGGTTTCGCATTCTAGATTGAAGTTTTCAGGTGTTCAATCACTTTTTTTTACGAAATTTAGCAAAAACGCCAGTGGCGTAACATAGCGTACCAGTGGCTTAAAACTGCGTTACAGTGGCGTAAAAAAGCGTACCGTTTTTTCAGCTGAATTTCATGCCCTGAATTGCTGCACATTACACCTCCTAATACCATTCATTGGGTCTCAAGTTCCACGATTTGGGCCCCATGCCGCGCCGCAAGCTTGAGAAGCTTGCCAGCTGCCACAGCGCAGCTACCCTTTACCGGGGTTCATCTTACATGGCAAAGAGGAAATCGAAAAAGGCTGTTAAGGAAGAGGAGAAGCCCCTAGAAGAGCAAATTCAGGCTTGGCTTTCATGCACATTCATGTTCATACTTGTGTGATACTGCTCTTCATGGTTTTTGCATTTCTACATGACCCAATGTATATTGCTTCCATGCAGGAGGCAAAGCGACGCCTAGATGAGCTACTGATAGACCAAACACAAGAGTACGAAGCAGGCGTGGAAGGTCTCAAGTGTGTGGAGGCTCCCGAAGAGGCGGCTGAGGCGCCAGCACCGGCCGAGGAGCCTAGCGTCAGAAAGCCCAAGAAGGTTCGTAGGAGGGGCTCGCGGGAGAAGCTTTCAGTGGTAATAGGTGGCTCAGAAGCTGCCTCTAATCCTGCTGGCGACCCTCTACCTGCCAAGCCCAAGAAGGCTGCCCCACCTGCCCCTGCAAGCTTGCTAGCCTTACCAGCTCCTACCGAACTTTGGAAGAATCTGTCCGGATATGATCCAAATGTTGAAGATGCTCAAGACCCCCGGGCTTTTGAAAGGGAAGCTCCCCCGAAAGCTTTGAATGTGCAGCCACCAGCAAAGAAGAATGATGAGGTCTCGCCCCCGCGCCCTACATCCCTACTGAGTAAGTTTTCTGCTGCTGCAGCTGGCAGAGTTTGCACAAAGGGCAAGAAGCGTAGGCCAAGGGAGGAAGACAGTGAGGATGAGGATGCTGACTTGCTCAGCCCCGAAAGTTTGAGATCAAACCTTGCAAAGTATTTGAAAGACAGCAAGGATTCCTGGTTTGCACTAAGGATTTACCATGGTAATAGTATATACTCTACGTACTCCTACCTTATGTAACTGAGGATGCTGCAGCCGCGGAGGCAAAGCCAGTTGCCGAGGCAAATGCTAATGGCCAGCCCATGTACGTGTTTATATACATATGGATTTGCATGAAGCCTGCCCTGAAGGTTGAACAGCCGATCGAGCCCATCACACCCACTGAGCGAGAGGGGAGCCAGGTCTATGAAGGTCCTTCTCTCCCTCCGGACTCCTATCAGCCTCCAGCCGAAAGCCCCCAGAAGTCCACCTCAGAACCTTCCCCGAGAAAGCTCACTCCAAAGCGCTCTCCGAACAAGTCCAAAGGTTCCCCAAAGAAGTCTAGTCCCAAGCGTTCCCCGAAGAAGCCCACTGGTTCCCGAAAGAAGTCTAGTCCCAAGCGTTCCCCGAAGAAGCCCACTCCGAAGAAAGCATCCGACCCAGAACAGGATGGCGCCAGGCCAGAAGCCCCTGAGCACAGCCCTAACCCGAAGAAGCACTCCAGATCCAGCACTCCCAAGCACTCCCCGGAGAAGCGCTCACCAAAGCGAATCCGCTTGTCTAAGATGGCAGCTTTACTGCAAACTGAGATCCATTAAGCATCATACTTGTGTTGTTATAGATATATGGTTTGATTCTGGGGCGCTTCACACGCAAGCTTATGTGAGGCGTTGATGATGAAGGAAAGGGAGGAGAAAAATATGAGGCAAGGATCAGGCGAATGATCAACGGAACGAAGAAGCATCCTTCCTCAGTCCCCGAGATTGTTCACAAGCTTTGGGCAAAAGGCAAGAAAGCTCGACGCGAAATGGCTAAAATTTTGCTTGAGTGTGGAGGAGACAAGGACCCTAGCTTATAAAGCTTCATGTTAATTTTCGCAAGTATAGTCATCTATACAGTGTACAACTTGCAGGAGTCCTTCACGGAGAGAGTGACCCATGACTATGAACAGACTCGTTCCAACAAGTTTGAAGTCGGAAGCGGGTTCTACACGGATCAGATGATGATCGACGAATTGAAATTCTCGAAGTCATTCGGCACAATAGTGTATGGATGCTCAACCCTTATTAAGCATTATGTGTATACACCTGTCAGGAAAAGGCGAAGGGCAATTCGCAAGTTCTGTCTCAAGAAGAAGAATAAGAAGACCCACATTCTGTGCGCATCTTAGCTATTTGAGGGCAGAATCTTTCAACATAGAGTTAATATACCTTCTATTTGTCACTCAGGAAAGACAAGTATGAAAAGAACTTGCTTTGGTATTATGTGGACATCAGCTACAAGGGCACCCGCACGGAGGAGGACAAGGAAACCTTGAAAAGACAGACAGATCTGGGGGAGGGTACCTCAAGCAAAGTGCCCTTGGGACTTGCAAGGGCGGAAACAAAAAGGGGCGGCGCAGCACCGCCCTCCGACTCAAGCGAAGGTGATGACGACATCAGTGACGACAATGATGATGATGATGACGGTGAGAGTTCATCAAAGGATGGAAAGGATTCGGGGGACTCAGAGTGTGAGTCGCGCAAGAAGCCACGTGGCAAGGCAAAGTCAAAGGGTAGAAAAAACAAGCGCAAGCGAGATGAGCTAGAGGAGGAGATGCCGGACGAGGCCCATATGGTGATTGCATTCGCATTGTAACCTCCCTATACTATTAATTCTTCCAACTCATTAAGCCCCAACTTCCCTTGGACTGTGTATCGGCCTCTCGCTACAGGACATGGATGGTGTACCCCAAGTCCTCGATGAGATCCTGAAGCAGCAGAAGAAGTCGTCCCAGGTCTTGGAACGCTGTAGGGAGGTGGGCGCTAAGGAGTATTCTGGCGAATTTAGAAAATACTCTAGGGGAACTTAGATTATGACAGAGATTTCATGATAAGGGTAATACAGGAGGGGTGTTACCATATATAGGGACTTTATATACCCAAAATAAATATAAGGTATATACTTCTGTACCCTAGACCCCTTATAAACACACACCCCCTGATTGGAAACTCCCCTCCTGTATAGTTGGTCCTAATTATGGAGCTATACAATTGCAAAATTCTTTTCGGACAGGTTGTTGCAAGCATTCCCTAAACCAAAGCTCACGTAGAGGATATTCGTATCTTTACAGCTGAGAGGTTGATCCTATGCAGGCATGCGAAAGCGCAAGGTTGCGAGATATATAGCTTGCTACACCTGAGGCATGCTGACAAGCTCGAGAAACAAATGGCGGACCTGAATGAGAAGCACGATGCTATTGCGGATATAAAATCGGCCCATGATTCTGATGAAACAATTGATGGAAAGCGACTCTGCAGCATGTACATCATATGTCATGTCGGCGCATGCAGTCCTCCAATGAAAAGTCTGCACCATTCTCAGGAAGCTGGCCACCTGGGTCGCTGCTGTGAACAAACTGTCTCATGCTTAGCAACTTCAAGTGACAGATCAGCTTATTCCAAATCCTTTCGATCCCAAGCATGGTGTGTGCCTCAGGGTTTCCCGGATGGTTATGGAAGAAAAGAAGATCCGACAGACCTGTCCTCAGCTATTATAATTCCCTCAAATTAACCAACCCAGAAATCCAAAACCTGAAACCTGCCCAGGACTGTGCTCGCCGGCAAGACTACCAAAGGTGGTAAGGCTGCGCAGAGTAAGGGTGAGGGTGGTTGCACTAAGGGGTCGGCTCCAAAGCGCGGAGCTGCCAAGAAGAAGGCTGCTGCAAAGAAGTAGCACCTCCCGGCCAATTTTTTGCAATCGTGAAATCACGATTACTGTTGGGCACTGCAGTGACTCTAATCACTATGCTCGGGGTTACATGTGCAATTATCATGCACATGCTGCGCACGCGTCCGTCGCAGATTGCTGAACAAACTGCATGCCTGCATGTGCTTTATTGCAGCAGTGTGCATTTCTGTGCATGTCCAGTTAGCATGCATGACTCAACCCCAATCCCGAAGCCAACTTAATGCAATCCACCTTGTGAATGTCTAAGCCTATACCCGTAAAACCCCAGCCCCTATACAAGCCTTAATGTTACTCGCGCTGGTACGCTATCCTCGAGATCTCTGAGCTCCCAGGCCTCAACCGTTGCAAGCTCATCGACCAGTGGGCCTGTCGGACGTGCGTTGGCTAAAGCGTTAACCAGAGGGGCCCCCTGGTTGCGCATAGGCTACCCCATATAAGGTTTTTATTTTGAGTTGATTTATGGTAGGGAGGCTCGCAACTTGTAATCACTGGACCCCATATAGATGTCAACCTGGCTGGGCTAAAGGGTTCGGGGCAATATGAGACTTGTATACCCTATGTGTGCAAAAGTTTTCTTTGATAAGCGGGGGTCTTTGTATCTAAGGTTTCCCATGAAATGGTGGCCGAGATTGCCCATGCTTTTCATTGTGAAGTGGAATCAGCTTTTGGGGAGAGCTCTACAAAACGGCTTCCATCTGCAAAGCTGGTACAGAAAGTGCATCACGCATACATTACAGGGCATGCTGCTAGTGGAACCCGAGCTGTTATGGAGTCGATGCCATCCATCAAGGCTAGCCTCGAAGTTACAACCATCAACATAGGACCTGATTGCGATCATCCTGTGATTTTTCCAAGCAGCTACGTCAAATCCCTGGCAGAAGCTGGAAAGCTGTGCAACCTCACTGGTGGCCAACCTTTATCCTGCTTAACCTCATTTTGGGAGAAGTTGCGACCCCTGCGCCCGCAGCACCCAGTCTACAGACTACCGAAAGAAACCTGGCAACACATTATTCCTGTATACCTAATTGCGGACGAAGGCCGTGGCTTCAAAAAAAGTCAAATCATGGTGCTTGGATCCGAACCTGTTTTGGGTGAGGGATGCGAGGCTGAGGATGCTATCACAAGTTTGGAATCGCTCAAATTGAATTTTCGGGGCAACACCTTCAAAACCAGGCAGCTTTATACTGTGGTCCCGAAAAAATGCTACAACAAAGATGCTGGGCCATTGAATAATTTAGTCAATCAATGGGCTGATGATTGGCACAAGTGCTTCTCTGGCCTCGAACTGCAGCATGAAGATGAGACCATCGAGCTTCGCATGGCGGTTCTAGGTTTAAAAGCTGACTGGCCTGCACTATCCAAACTTGGTCGACTGGACCGTAGCTTTGCCAGAGAAGCCTACCCATCAGGATTTGGGATCTGTCACTTATGCATGGCGAATTCTTCTCAATGCCCAAGCTGGCACCATCATGATCTCAGAACTGCTCCTTGGATTGCTACAATGCGCACTGCAGAGCTTCCCTGGAAACCAGCCCGAGAGTCTGGACTTACAGCTAGGATTCCCATGGAGACGGGGCGTAAACAACGGTTCTACCTTGTGGACATCTTTCATACGTGCCATAAAGGGGTTCACGCGGATCTCGCTGGGTCAGGAATTGACGCCTAGCTACATATAGCTCCTCAAGCCTGTTTTCTACAATCTCATTTTTCTTTATGTAAAATGTTTCATCTTTGGTTCTGGCGAAATGTATACTGTGATCATGTTTAATGGAATGCCTACCCCAAAATCCTAAATCCCCTAAGTAAGGTAACCCTCCTGGACTTCGATCTTTCTGGTTCAGCTTCGACTGGAGCCATTAAATCCCTGGAGCACATCTACACCGAGATGAAAGCCTTTGCAACGGAAAGGCACTTGTACTTGCACATGACTGCCCTGACAAGAACTTTGCTGAGCTGGAGCTCCAGCGCAGAGTTTCCTACTGGGTAATTTGAATTTGTTAAAGGAACATTTTTGACGCTTGTTGGGTCATGTTACAAATTTGTTTATAAGGGTGTATATAGGCTTTCGATCAATGATGGCTGAACTTAGGTCCTGGTTCAAAGGGGCTGATACAGTGGTTGTTCTGAAGTTCCTCGCGTGGAAATTCCAGATAGTCCTCGCCTCCGATGTAAACCTGCGGATGGAAACAAGACGGTATCTGGAAGAGATTGCCAACTGCCTACATCACTCAAATGACTTCATGAGCTCCCTTTACAAATCAGGCTTGTTCATTCCTCCATCGCGTTTGGAAGGGATTGTGCGACATGGAAATGAGATGCTGGCATCGTTTGCCAAATGCGCTGGTATGGCTTACAAGCTTAAGCTCCCAAGGTTCAAATTCAATCCGAAGTTTCATATGTTGTGTCACCTGCTGCTCGACATGCAGGAGGCACTTGCGAATAACCAGAGCTCCTTGAACCCAACCTCGTTTTCGTGCCAGATGCCTGAAGACTTTATCAATAAATGCTCCACTTTGTCGAGAGGTGTGGATGCAAGAGCAGTCGCACTCCGAACGATTGACTTGTACAGGGTTGCAGTAGCTGATGCATGGTGATTTAGCATCATCATGGATAGAAAAGCTAGGACCAGAAAGATTCGAATTTCTGCCACCGGTTAAAACCTGCAACCACCGACGGGGTGGCAGCATTTGTGCGCAACTGTGGCTACCCAGGTAGACACTAAGCCCTAAACCCAAGCCTGTGGCCCGGTACATGTACTTAGCGTTCTTCCCACGAATCTTGTCGCTTGCTAGGTGGGAGCACAAGATTTCAAGGTTGTTTATCGGTTTACGATTTAGGTTTTAGGGTTGCGGGTTTTGTGTTCAGGGTTCAAGCATGTCCGGAAAACAATGCTTTACAGCAAGGCCCAGGGTTTAGGGCTTAAGATTCTGGAAGCAACCTCAAGATTGCAAAATGTGATCCAAGTATGGGCGTGTTGCAAGGGGTTCTGACGTCGCCAGCTGTCCTTCTTTCTTCCTTCCTTCCCCTCCAACAACCAGCAACCTTAAACCCTAAACCCCGCGGAGGACTATCCACCTGAAGATCCCTCGCAGGATAAGCCAACCCAAACCCTAGCCCTTCAAATCTTCAACCCGAAGGCCTACACCGTAAACCCTAAATCCCCAACCCTAACCCCTTCAAAACTCAAACCCAAAGGCCTCTAAGGACTTCCAACAGCTAAATGCCTAGTCTGCGGAAGGATGACCGTCACTAGCTACATATGTGGCATTCTCCCCGAAAATGCACATGGAACCACTCGGTTTAGGGCTTAGGGCCTTAGGGTTTAGGGGTTATTTAAGGTTTACGGTATGTAAATTACGAGGCACTCGTGATATCAGTAACAGTAAGTATGAGAGGACATGATTTTAACTTGAGCTTTACTTCACCTAGCCCGCAAACACGTCAACAACCTTGCAATCCCAGTTTCCATGTCAATTTCCACCTTCTTTTCCAGTCGATTCTACAGTACTGGGTTTTCACCTCGGCTTCTCCCTACCTAGACTTCGGGAATGATTTGGTCGGCTGCCAAACCCTAACGGTCCAAGTGCCAAATGGTCGGATTCTTTCCCATTATTCCCCAACTCCAAAAACGGCTGATCCCAAATCCGCCAAGTACAGACGTATTAGGTTTGTGGACCCTCCGAGACAACGTGCATGAGGTGCATGAGATTGATCAAGGTCTGCTTGTTGTTGGTATCTCTGAAAACCTTGGCGTTGGTATCGTCGACTCGAATGCAGGGGCACAAGGAACTTGTGAAAGTTTAGGACATGAGATAGTTTAGGGTTTAGGCTGTATAGTCCTTCAGGAGCTTGGCCGTTTAACAGGTTTCATTCGCCCTGACCATATCAGAGTTTTGGCGACGGTCTGCGTTACGCTGTGCATTGAAATGTGCTAGGCTCTCTGCAAACCTATCTGGTGCCTACGTAAACATGAAAATTATAACCTGAGTTTTGTCGTAGAACCCTCAAGAATTTTAGACAAGTCTTTTGACGGCCGTTTTCCCCCTGATAAGAAAACCCATGCACCCGCCGAATAAACAGTATTCCTTGTACCATACAACATAGAGGTACTACAGGGGGGGATATTGTTAGTGGAGGATTCACGGTATTTAACTGAGAAAACAGATGAGAAGGATCACGAGCAGCAGTGACTAGCACTCCACAAAATCCTCCAAAAACATGCAGTTGCAAGGCTTACCTAAAGACGTAGAGTGACTTTATACCTCTAAAGCGGATGAACAACACCAACATGTTGGGTATAGAGCCCTTGTAATGGCAGATGGGTCGCTGCAGGTATGGCTTAGGCTTAGGGTCTAGGACCCTCTTTCCAAGCCCTTTGCACAGAGGATCTCGCAAACTCAGTATCCGCAAAATGTTACATCCCAAGGTCCCAAAGCGCGCTCAAGGGTTTAGGGCGCCAAAAAAAAACTTCCAAAAATTGTAGCTTCCTTGGCTTTGCAGTACTACAGTCCTTACAGCAGGGCCTTCCAAAAAAAGGCTCCAAAGTCAGAAAATCCGGATTCCCAGAGATTAAAAGCAAAGATTCTGCTAAACCCTAAGGGTCCGAGGACGCAAATAACAGGGTCCCTTTATACGGGTTCTAGGGGGACTTTATAAGATATATGGGGATTATCTAGGGGTATATAGGACCCGAATAATCAGGTTTTAGGGCGCAAATACTATAATAGTAACCCCTGAAATCTAACTGCTTTGAATACAAGACTTCAAATCCAGGGTACATTCTTTATCTCGAACAAGCCGAGAACGGTTGACTAAGAGGTTCATGGGTAAAATTCTGCACCCACCTCCCAACAACTTTGCGGCCCAACCTCAAACTTAGGGTTTAACGTTGAAGGCTTTACTGTAAGGTATTAGGCTAATGGGATATTTCTTGAGTTCCAAGTTCCAGGTTTTGTGTCTATGGCTCTTCGTTGACTCAAGGCCCC